AGTCGCTCAAGCGACTTTATCATCGCTCGAGCGAAAACACCTAATAGAATGGGGATTCTCGGGTTGTGTTTCGCTTGAGCGACTTAGTCTCGCTCAAGCGACATTTGATTGACTTTGCGAGAGCGGTTAATATTTTAACCGCTTTTAAAAGTAAACATATAATAAGCAGCTACATGTTAACCGCTATCTAAAATATACTTTTAATAGCGGTTATTTGTAGAACCAGCTCTTTTTAGTAGGTTTAGATAGCGGTTTCCAGAACCGCTATCTAAAGTCCCAATTTTAAAAAAAAATTGTTTAATATTTGTTTTGCTTATTTGGTCAAAAAGACTAGGTTTGCTTTAAAATTATCTAAATTCCCAATTTAAAGTCTCAGAACGATTTTAATATTATTGGTTTGTTATATCCTGAAATGTCTACAATTAGGTTTGGTTTTTTTGAAGGTAGTTTCTTGTTATCATGCAGAGTGATTTTTATTACATGTCTTTCATTGGACGTAATATAGAACCGATGATTGTTACGTAAATGTATGGACCATCAACTGCTTATAAATGCATTGAAGAAATTAAAATTGCTTGTTACATTGTTATATTTACATCCACAAAATCAGAATGTATAGTCTACACTACTTGTTGCACGTCTATGTCCTATCATATATACTCTAACAAAATCAGAATGTGGAGTCTACACTACTTGCAAAATTCTATGTTGTAGATATTAACACTTATGTCCTGCAAGTTGAAGAAGAAATCATTAGTATACATGAACGTCATGCACTTCTAAACTAATGTAATATTCATTGTTGACAAAGTATTTCATTAAAAAAACAATGTTTCCAAACCATTTAGTTGAGGAAGACAATTGTGTGCCGTCAACATTACTCGTCAAGTGATGTCAACAATGACACAAAACCGAGTGGTACCCAATGTTGATGGCACGCAAAGGGCAACAATTACATGAGTTTTGACAAATGACTTTATTGCCATTTTACATAACATAAAGCTGCATAAACAGTATATCAATCCCACAAATAAATTCAAATGAATTGCATATCACACTTTAAATAAAGCAAATTCAATTGAACAATCACTATAACATGAAATAAATTTCATTTTTGACACACACCAATCCAGATGACCGATAATCAACATGAGTTCCTTCGAGTGTTCCCCTGTAATGGCCAAGATAAGATATTAATGAACTTATGAAATCATCCAATACAAAATAACATGACGAGTTGTGGATATAATACTTACAATATTTGTGGTGCACGTGTGCTTGGCCTTTATTTTGTAACCTTCGCGTTGCACTTTTTTCACTTGTTGACACCTTTCGGAGTGAACGTGGTCTTCCTTTCCTTTTAACATGCAACGGGCTACGAATATCAATGTCAACGTTGTCAACATATAAGCTTTGTGAATTTCTAGGAGTATTACTTTCGCGAGATATTGGTATCTATTTGAGTTTGAGAACGTTGAGATGTATGTGTTGGAGCAAATTTATTCATCATTTCATGCAACATGTCCGTCCGCTCAATTGACTCCGATGCAACTTCGGCAATCTCATAAAATCTTTTACACAACTCATCGTATCGTTCAATCTGCGGTTGCTTCTCCTTTACATTGTAGGTGGTTTTCATATAAGTATGCTTCCTTCTCACATTTTTACTCCATCTACTTAAAATGTATTTGCGGGGAATCTTTTTAACCCTTTGTTGAGCAAGGACGACCAAACAATGTCGGCAAAGAATACCTTTGAATTCAAATAGCAAGCACGTGCAACCGACATTTTGGTCATCAAGGTTGAAACTTACACTCGTACAGGTGTTCTTTAGAATCTTCACCACAAATAGATTCCTCCATAACGTCATAAAACCAAGCGAGATCCAAGGCAAGACACATGCACAACACCTGCAGTTGATTTTTCCTCTAAATTCTGCTTGAACCTCTGCGAATTTTGAATGTGTATACTCCGATTGAAATTGCCTCTCTATCGTAGACTGTGATCCACAATTAATAATTGTATGCATGGATGCAAAATCGGCTTCATATTCCTTCTCGGCCTTGTCTTGTAAGGCATTTTCATACTTGCTTGACAAATTGTTGGAGGGATGTCATTGAGGTGATATATCCATCAAAAAATGCATTCATACTTTCACTTCGTTGTGTAGTTGACATCCCGACCCAAAATTGGTTTTTCAAAAAGCATGGAACCCATCTCTGTTTCTCTTGGAAAAGGCTATTCAACCACTCATTGTCTTGTAAGCCAAAATCGATATGAAATTAGCCCATTTGGATGTGAATTCGAGATATGGTGGAAGACTCATAAACAACCTCCTTCATAGCATACTTCATATTTTTATATTCTGTATAACCTTTCAACTTTTCTGGAATTTTTTTCATTATATGCCATAGACACCACCTATGACGGGCTTCGGAAAAACTATCCGAATGGCATTTTGCATTGCCTTGCACTTGGTCGGTGATAATACCCGTAGGAGCCTTCAATGACATGCAACGTAACCATGATTCAAATAACCAAATAAAAGAAGTGGTGTCTTCACTTGATAACAACCCACACCCTAACAATATGGAGTGTCCATGATGATTTACACCCACAAATGGTGCGAACGGCATGTCATATTTATTGGTCAAGTATGTTGTATCAAATGAAACAACATCGCCAAAGTATTCACAAGCCGCCCTACTTCTAGCGTCAGCCCAGAAAACATTTTTTATACGATTATCATCATCCAAGTCTATATCAAAATAGAAATCCTTGTTCAAGTCCCTCATTTGTGAAAAATAATTCAATAGAGCTTTCCCATCACCTTCTTTTCCTAGTGCACGTCTTTGTTTATTGACATAGTTGCGTACATCTCGTTCGACAAATTGGAGGTTTTCATAACCTCCTGCACTACTAACAACTGACCGAAAGCTTTTATTGATCCTCACACCTGCATCATCATTTATGTCTAGAGTCCTCTTCACATGCAAACTAATGTTCCTATTGCTTCGAAACATTCTGGATTTCTTTGGGCTAAGAGAATGTGAATGTTCATCATTCACCGACATAATATACCATAGTCCTTCCTTTAATACAAGCTGTTATCCGGTGCGGGACATGAATTTGTTTTGGTGGGTTGGGTTCTAATTTCGGTAGGTGTAGCAGAAACATACTTACCAGCCCTTGCACACACCAACATGAAGTACCGCAATTGGTTATCGGGCCCCTTCTTTGAACTCCTTGTTTTGATGCCAAATCCTTTTTGTATGGCATATTGTCGATAAAATGATTTAACCGCATCTGCAGTTTCAAAGAACATTCCTACACATGGAGCGAGCAGTCGTGATTACATTTGTAGTCCCGACATCTGCGTCGGGAGATCCTTCATCATGGCCAACCAACACTTCTTCTTCATGTAAACTTGTGGCATCCGCATTCATCGGGTATTTTATCATGTACACGTATCATTTCTTGGTCTACACCTTTGAGAGGACCATCACATTGTTGTACATCCGCATCACTACCTATGTCATCATACACGGCCAAAATGCCTTCATTGACAACTACATCTCTGTTTTCATTTATATCTCCCATGCTAGATAAACGATGAAGGATACAATTCCTACCATTGCCAACAATATAATAGCAAGTTATATAAGTTCGGAACTTGGAGACGAAAATAGTCAATGTAAATGTTCAATCGTTTATCTACCCAAAAAACACAATTTTAGATCACAATGTAGACAAACTCTAAACGCTAAACCCTAAAAATATATAATGCACTAACTCCCAATAAGCGCGGCTACAACAACAATGGCGAATGGAGACTGGAACGCGAACTTGGCGACACACAAATATGTTACAATGTAATATGCTTCAATGTGAGCAAGAGAATCAGAAAGATTGAAAATAACGTACCTGAAGCTTAATAGAAGACGCAGAGAGCGACAATGAGAGCGCAGAGAGCGAGAATGAGAGCACAGAGAGCGAGAATGAGAGAGTAGAGAACGGGAAAAAAACGCAGTCAGAAAGAGCGCGAGGTTGAAGAAAGTGGGAGGGAAGGATGAAAAAGAAAGTGACTTTAGATAGCGATTACTTCTGAACCGCTAACAAAAACATACTTTAGTGAGCGGTTCACCCACGAACCGCTATATTATATGTTTTTTTAAAAGCGGTTCTTATTAACCGCTATCTAAAGTTTCGTCGCTCAAGCGAAATTTACATCGCTCGAGCGACGCTACCTGCCCAAAACACTGTGCATTTAATTTTTTTTATTCGATAATACTGTGCATTTAATATTTTTTTATTCAGTTGTCGAATGGATGTTTACACTCGGGTGTCAAAATATCAGCACTCTTACAAAAAATACTCTCATAAAGATTTACTCCCTGATATCTAATTAGTAAAAAGAAAAAAAAAATGTTGTCAATATGAATTGGTGGTAGATATCATAGTGGAGCCTTGTGTACAGAGAACTATACTGCTACTTTTGATTAAAATAAGATATTTAAGCAGTTGAATTATAATGGTGTAGCTACGTAAATTGATTTGGCCGAAATATTCCAGCAAATAGTAAAGGAAAGTGCAATAACAACTACCGCAAGAAAATTCCAAAGAAATGGAACAGAAATTACCAGCACTGCTGCACATCTCTAGGATGGGACAAACCTTCAAGAAACCAGGTGAGACTTCTTTCAGAAGATTATTAAGCTCTTGCAGATTATACCCAGTGCGAAAAAGGAATTTTTAAGGCTAAGAAAAACAAAAAAATATATGAAGATCATGAACAGGAATAAAAACTCAGGTATTCCCCATATCATAATTACTCCAGATACATGCATTTGACCAAATGGAAATCCACAATCATCAAACACGAGAGAGGCAGTGAAATACAGTATGAAATCTACAACATACATAGACAGTGGATCCGGAAACTAATGAAGGATACCCTGAGTTCAATTGAAACCACCAGAGTATGTGACTGAACTGAAGAACTATGTGACTATTTCCATAGGATACTTATCAATGCAATCTTCCCATGGTCCATTAGGAGAAGGCTTAATATTTCTCAGTGCCTGCCAAACAGCACTGTTACATTTGAAACCACTTCCAAATGCAATTTGCCAAATCCTGTTACCCTTCTTCACCCTCCCTTTGGCTTCAATGTAAGCCAATTCATACCAAATGGAGCTAGAGGAAGTGTTCCCAAACCGGTGCAGGGTCATCCTAGAAGCCTCCACATGCTCAGGACGCAGTTGCAAGTTCTTCTCCAGCTCATCAATCACAGCCCTGCCTCCAGCATGTATGCAAAAATGATCAAAAGCAAGCTTGAAATCCGGTATGTAAGGCTTCACATCAGCCTTGAACAACTTCTTCATCAGCAAAGTCACAAAAAACAGAAGCTGCTCACTAATTGGCAGCACCAAAGGACCAAGGGTGGTGATGTTTGTTTTCAATGCTCCACCAGCAATTGCCATCAAATCCTTAGACAAAGAAACACCAGTCTTCCCTGCATCATCCTGCTCCTGGTAAACACACCGGAACGCCTTGTCATCCGTGCCGCGGTGAGTCCTTACAACATGGACAAGCCGGTACTTCGCCCGCCTCCGGTCGGCCGGCTTGTTGGACAGCAGCAGCGCCGAGCAGCCGACCCGGAAGAGGCAATTGGGAATGAGCATGGATTTCTTGTTCCCAAAGTACCAATTCTGAGTAATGTTCTCAGTGCTAACAACCACAGCAAAAGTGTTCCTATGAACCTGCAAAAGGTCCTTAGCAAGATCAACAGCAATAACCCCAGCACTGCACCCCATTCCTCCCAAATTAAAGCTCCTTATGTTCCCCCTCAATTTGTACTTATTAACAATCATGGCAGAGAGTGAGGGCGTAGGGTTAAACAAGCTACAATTCACAATAAGAATACCAATATCCTTAGGTTTAACGTTGGTGTTTTGGAAGAGATTATCCAAGGCACCAAACATGACTTGCTCCGCCTCCGCCCTGGCCGCGGCCATGGACGGCTGAGGCGGAATAGAGTGCATGGCTTCGGGGACGTAGGTCTCCTCTCCGAGACCAGAGCGTTCGAGGATCTTGCGCTGGAACTCCAACGAAGACTCCTCGAAGTCTCCCGTGAGGCGTGAGTGGTCCATGAAACTCCGGAAGGGGGCTTTGAGGTGGTCGGCGGGGCGGAAGCAGGCGGAGTCGAGGAGGTAGACGGAGCGTGGGCGCGTGACCACGTAGAGAGTGAGGCCGAAGACGAGGAAAGCAGAGCAGGTGAGGATGGTGATTAGGTTGTACTGGAGATGGAGCCAGAGGTGGCGAAGGTGGTGGATGTCGGTGGTTTGGGAGACCTGGATTATCGTGACGAGGATCAAAGGAACTAGAAATAGGGTTAGGAGGTTGGAGATCAAGTAGTGATAACCTAATTTCACATACTTGAGATTGACGCTCTGGAGGAAATCAGGGAGCGCCATTCGGTTCTGCTGCTGGATCTGAACTCCCACTGCGGAGCCCCTGCCGCGGTCTCCTCCTCCGGTCGTCATCGGAATGTGAATGTAGAGGCTGCGTGAAGATGGTGAGAGAATGAATGAATGAAGGAATGTTGGTTTTGTGCGCTTATTTATATATGGATAGTTAATTAGATGAGTGGGAACGGGGTTGGGTTTGGGACGAAGGGAGAGAGGAAAATGGTTGCGTTGGTATGTTATGCGTTTGGGAAGGTTCGGAGCGTGGAGTGTTGGGAAAATGGTTACTTCAGTGGTCCGTACACTGAGCGGCAACACCTGGGACTGGGACTGGGACTGGTACTCTAATCATCTCCAGGGGGGAGGGGAACCAATCTGCTCCTCTGCTACTACTGCAAGCCAAATAATCTCTCTTCTTTCTGCTTTTTCACTCTTGTTTTCTAAATTAAAACTGACACTCCCAATAATCTATTGTTATTTATAGTAGAATTAAGCAAAGATCGATGCGATTTGTATAAAAAGAAAAAGAAATGTCTAGATATCATTATCAACTCTGCATTTCTAACCTCTTTTAGAGAAGCCAAGGGACACAAATAAATTGAAAAGTGATTAATCTGTTGCGCGATGTGAATTAATCTTGGATTGTTCACGTAGATGATTTAAGATAAATTGAAAGGAGAGTGTTAATTAATGACGAATTCAAAAAATGTACAATTGTTGGGTCCACATACTGATTCATAGCGGCCATTAACATGTGAAGAATACAAGCTTTTGCTGATGTGAGAGCAAAATCCTCCTTTTTACCCCTGCAAGTAAATTCATTTGATCAATTATTTGAATTAAATAATCGAATAAGTTTATTTCCAGTGACCTATTTTTTACAAATTTAATCAGATACCCGCAATCAACATCTAATAAACTTATTCTAAATTAATTGATTATCACAATTGTAGAACCAATTGTTATTCAATAATCAATTTAATATGTTAAAAACAATAATATATATATATATATATATATATATATATATATATATATATTACCCAATCAATCAAATTATACAGTTTTTAAAACATTTTTCTATTTTATTTCTTATCTTACTGGATCAAAGCATACTCTACCAAATAATAAAATATTATTATTATTATTTTTACTTTCATTATTTTTATTTTACTTCACTGAACCAAATCAAATCAGACTTAAAAAAATATGCAGGCTAATTAATGACCTAGTCAGCGACAAACCGATTATTATGTCATATGATGAAATCGGACGTAAAAAATTATATATTTGTAGGCTATTAACTGAGCCCTGATATTTGGGTACTGCATTTATTAAGCAAGTGGGGAAAATATATGAAAATACCTGATCCCTACAATTCAAAATCGAGACTTTGAAAATGAAATTCTTGGATGGGATGATAAGAGGGCGTTAAACCCTGAACAGCATAAATGGATGATTCAAATCAAATCGCCAAAACGAGAAAATTAAATTGTTGATTCAAAGTACAAATCGATTTTCTCAATCCTTGGGATGACAAGTTATCAACGTTACGTCATTCGCGTCATTTTCAATGGGTATTATCAAATTAAAGTAGGCACCACACCTTTTTTTCTGGGGACGTCATTTTTTATTGCAAAATGGTATTTGCCCACTCGTTTGAGTTCATGTATGACCCTTCATGCACTAGACTTGACCATTCAAAACAATAATGCATGAAAATTTAATTAAAACAATTAAATTATAAATCTTGTACGCTTTAATTTCTATTATGCTATTTTTATTTTTCTATTTTCAACTAATTTTATATCCAGATTTTAAGAAATTCATATTTTAATTCACCCTCAACTTTGTATACGTTTATTTTTTTATCATTAGTTAAATAATACTTTGTTAGGAATTTAATAAATAAAATATTTAGGATTCAACAGCAACAAAAGTAAATAAATAAATAAAACATGCAAAAATTAAAATTATATTAAAATTATGAAATCTCTAAAATATAAAATCATTAAAAAGGATAATTCAGAATATATATTCATATCAGATAAACAACAATAATAATGACCAAATTCTTGTCATTTGATCATTCTTCTAATTTGATAGGGACTGAAAATAAAAATGTGACTGAGTAAAAATGTTCTAGAAGTGAAGAAAATGGAACACAGGTCACCTCATTAAATTACTGGAGGATTCTTGAGAACGAACAAGCCATGCTTCACAAGTCAATCCAGGGAAATGCCAACAACTGACGGCAATGTTGGCAATACCTTCATAATTCAAATGCATAAAAAACTATGTAAAATGATTAAAAAGGGATCATGATTAATATATAGAACCCAAAATCAAGGATTTGGGTTAATCACATGCCGTCAGTGGATCTTTAAATACATAATTTATTCTTGATTTTTCTATAATTCAATCATGCTTTGCATTTTCACAGTCAATGACATAAGCGACTAACAACTTCGCAGCCAAAAGTGTCCAGGAAGAAAAAATTACAGTTGATGTCAGCCTTAATTTCAGAATGAAAGTGTTTTCAAACACCACGTTTTCACAATGTATTAGAATCCATGACTGGAGATGTCAACATGCGATTCTCAATTGTAATAAACCATGCATAGTCGCAATACAGCCACATATGTTACTAATAAAATATGGGCCAGTCGATTAACTTCGATCAGAATATGCAATAAAAGTTCAGACATAGCTGCCACACAACATTCCAGCCACACATAATTAACACCAGAAAAAGACAGCATTGAGTTAAGAAAAATGTTCCGAACAAAGGTTAAGATTCACTGATTAAGCCATTACTTAGCACTTGGCTGTCCTACAAGGTGGAACGGTTGGACAAGCTACAGAGCCTCCTTCAACAGTTTTTCAGTCAGACTTTTGGGGAGTCCCATCACACTGTCGGTTGTTCCTACCTGCAAACATACAATCATTTAGGATTCGTTTACTGTCCGTAGGAACTAGAAAGTAAAATGCCAGCAATCTTGTCCCAGCAGGAAACCAGCTACGGACAACCGCAGCATTAGACTTCTGCGTACCATCAGCAGTAATACATAATACTAATTAACTTAAACAGTTGATTTAGCTAAACATGGAAGTTTTCACCAAGTTTTGAGGATAATCAACATGCAAATTCATCCATGCAGTCAATCCCAACTAGAGGGAAATGTCTTGGTAGTTGTCAGTCACTGTTGTAGTTTTGCTTTGCTTTGAGCAGTAAGGAAACCCAAAGCAAAACCCATGGTCAATAGATTTCTAAATGAGTTTTCTAGCTTTTGATACAGTCCAAACACAAATATCTAACCAGCGAATCTTAAGTAAATTACAAATTGTTTTTTAATAACAAAGTGAATAGTTCTAAATGGTGAACACTGAATAATGGAATACTGCCACTTCATACTGAAGAACGGCTAAACGTAACTAATAGACCAGACCAGATTTACGATGGCAATATCTATAAACTAAACCATTAGCGTGAGACAGGGATATGACTCTGGCTTGTCCTTGTTCCCCAAGAACAATCCAGCATGCTCCCCTATCTATAGCTATTATTAAGATGCACTGACATTCCTAACTATGAAAGAGGAGTCAACGAACCACTTCTTTGACAAACGGCAATATTGAAGGATGCTCTATTATCAGCGCACCAGCAACATTGAGAGTAATTCCTTCGTCAACCTAAACAAGAAGAAAAGGGATTAAAAGAATATCAGCTACTCAGCAACACGAGATTGCTCCGCAAAGAAGCATGTATGTATAAGAAACATCCACAAAACAACAAATTACAAATACATACCAGCTTCTCAATGATTTCATCGGGTATTTCATTGAAATATATCTGTAAAACATCACAAGACAAAATCATTTTACACAATAGACAGGACAGAGTGCACACTCATGTTTGAAATAATGAAGGTCCAGGTCCAAGATTGAAATAAATAGATTCCTCTCGCAAGTATTGAGAAAAGGTCAGAATAATAATAATAATAATAATAATAATAATAATATTAATAATAATAATAATAATCATATGGGTTTTGAAAGTGTCATGGAAACAAAAATCAGCAAGAAACATCCTATATGTTAGTAACTTTCTCAGTGTAATTGGTAATTGTCAAAATCGTTAAGCAGCACAAGTTGTACTATTACAATGAAAATTGTTGATAACTGATATTGTACTCTTCTCAGGCTTCATCAACTACTTGTCAAATTTTTCAACCAGTTAAGAAACTGATGGCTCATAACTCTAAAACTTTATCAGGTTTAGCAAATGACTAGTACTACTGCCATCTTTTCATGCTTTACTACCTTGTCACGGTAGCCAATCCCTTGCAAAATTTATCCAAAACAAAGGAAAAAAGTGGAGTGCATAGCTAATTTTAGATTCATTTAAGGTAATGTAGGTAATACAAGACAGATGTGTATCCTAACAAAGAATCATTAAGAGCTAGTTATCTGGAAATGAATATTTTAAATATAAATATCACCTTTTTTGAGTTTCAATGTCACCATTTTATCAGAAGAGTAGGGAACCTTTGTGCATAATTATTAACATAGTTGAGAGTAAAGATCGCAGAGGAGGAGTTCCCTGATTGTTTGTTGGACATGTATTGGCATCACATTGGGTAGAGGATCGATTTTGGACTTTGGTCAGACAACAGGAGACTGGCTAACTAATAATCACCCAGGAGACCAAAGGTAGAGAAGAAAAATACCTCCACACGATCTGAATCTCCTTTTCTGACTCCTGTTTTGAGGTTAGTAACTAGTACAGATCCCACAGTTGCAGCACGCCTTCCAGAATAATCTGAAATTGTATAAAAATCCATTAAATATGAATATATAGGTGATTCTAAGTTTATAATCACTGGAGAGGTGAGAGAGAAGAAACTATTTATTAGTTGATAGATGATAGGAACACAACATTAAGCAAACCTTTCAAGAATTGTCGAGCTTCTTCTTTGCTAGATGGCTTTTCCCTAATCACACTTTCGTACACCACCACCTCCAAATCACATTTGACAATGAATGTAAGCCATAAGCAAACTTTGACTCAGAAGAAAAGAACTTGACAATTTCTGCTACAAACTAGTCTTGTCACCATAAGGCCATTTATTTGAGGTAGCAAGCACAAACTTACCAATTTGGGCATTAAACGGAATAGATATCTTTTAGGCTTTCTTAATACAAGGAATCAATTCATTTGGACACTGGGCATATTTAAGATTATTAATAAACATTACACACTAGTCAAAAACAGTCCATGAACCAAAAAGAAAAGCTTCATTATAAACATCCATGAGAAGCATATGGGAGAGAAGGAGAAGATTGTTTGGAAGGAAGTAACGATAGGATTATTGAATTTTTATGGAATTTACCTTCAATTGTTTTTTCTAAAACATGTTGCTTATGCTTAGCGATATTTTGAAGATGTAAAATGGTAAACTAGAAAAGAAATATTAAGAATACGACGTATACTTGGTCAGAGGTAATTAATAACGTTGCCTCAGCATCCTTTAAGTAGTCATCAACAGGGAGCCTTTGCAAGATGGCTTCTGCCTAAGGAAAAAGTCGAGAGCAACTAAAATAAGCACCTGAGTAACAGCTATATGAGAACAGTAGCACTAACAATTACATGACCTAACCAGGTAGCAACTTCAAACAGAGGATGACAAACTGAAGCCATGAAATAATTCTTTTGTTAAAAATAGAAACTACTCACGTGATTGTCAAAACTATGAGCAACATGATCCCCAACAACTTACTACTATTTGGTACTGCTCTTAATTTATTTTATAATAAGATGAGTAGTCAATAATACAAACACATGTTAAACAAAATAGAAGCACATGGAATAAGAACCTAAATATTAACAATAAAGAGCATTAAACTTCCACTTTTGTATTCAATTTTAACATTCCAATATTCATTCAAATCTTAGAATGATAGTAGCTTAATGATACTATCAAGAATTTATGTAGTTCCCCCAATAGACGGATAAGAACTGAAAACAAGAAGGAAAAAGATAAAAACTGAAGTATTTAGGGCAATTTCACTATGACAGCATTTGGTCTGGACTTATGGAAATGGGGAAGCTTCATATTTCGTCATTTCTTCCTAAGATTGATCAGAGAAGCTGAATTTGTAATCTACAAACTGGAGTGCACACTTCATCCTCAACATACAGTATATCCTCATTTAATAAATGGCCCCGGTGACAAAGAACCTACTAACCACCTATACTTAACTAATGGGAACGCAACATACTGTGTCCGCTGCAATTAAAATAGTTGGTTCATCAACCCTCTCTTGATTACTGGTAGATTGAAGTTTGGATATAATGGCATTGGCCTGATACATGTAATTCACATTCATTATCAGAGAACAATTGATCTTAAAAAACAGTTTCCATTAAGAAAAGGCATCAAAACAATTCACAACAGAAAGCAGTTACACCATATCTTTCTAAGGTGTCTGTATGTACTCTCTTGCAAACTAGAGCACGTGAGTAAACCACCATCACGGTCCCAGAACAAGGCTGTCATATGTTAGATTTACGTACACTCATGAAGATTCTGTAGAATCAACTCATGGAATTGACTCGTAAACTTGTAAGAGTTCATGTGATAAAAGGAAATAATATTAAAAAACCTATTAAGGACATATAGGTTTAACATAATACTATTAACACAACAATAATTCAATATTTCAACTTCATAAGAAAGCAAAATAGCAAGTCGCAATAATAGAATGTAATAGCAGATCAAACTACAAATCTACCAAATTATATATAAATTAATGAAAACAAAAGTATTAAAGTGAAAACATCTAAAAAATGAGCTAATTTCTTAAAATCATTTGAGTCATAGTAAAACATTGAAGCACTTGGTGGATTTGATGAAGACATAGATATAACTTAGGTTGTGGGTGTGTAGATGATTAGGGTTTTTAGTTTAAGCACTTAATCTCTTGATAGGCCATTATATTTTGTGATAAGCACCTTAAAATATTGCATATCATTGAAAATCATTTTTCTGCATGAAAAACTTACGTTTAAGAATTAAAAGAATTTTTTTCAATCTGTTGAAAAAGATTTTCAATCTGTTAAAATCACTTAACATAATAAATGGTCATACATAATCGAAAATTAAATTGATTGATTCACAGAATCAACAAGTTAAAATAACTCAATGAATTTTCAATATCAAGGTTCGCATTTTCAATCTGTTGAAATGATTTTAAATCTATTGAAACAGAAAGACCTTTTTCGATCTAAGAGTTTTTAGAAAATCAATCTGTTGAAATATTTTTCAATCTGTTGAAACAGAGAGACTATTTTTTTAACTAAGTGTTTGCGGAATTTAATCTGTTGAAATGATTTTCAATCGATTGAAACAGAGTTGTCATTTTTCATTAAGTTGTTTTAATCCATTAAAACTCGAATCAATCGATTAAATGGAACTTTAAATGAAATCAATCGATTGAATCGATGTCTTAATCGATTAAATGGAACTTTAAATGAAATCAATCGATTGAATCGATATTTTAATCGATTGAAATAATATTCGATCGATCATAGTTTTGTTCTAATCGATCATAACTCATTCTGATCGATCATAGTTTTATTCGATCGATCATAACTCGATCTAATCGATCATACTTCGTTTTAATCGATCGAGTCTCTTCTAAACCTGTTTCTTGCTAACCAACTTATCTTTTGACTCTCTAAAACAGTTTTTAACGGATGAAACGTTCGCTTTTTCGATTTACTCTATATATCTGATTTGATCTATCTTTTGAATATACAATACAACACACTACTTGAGAAAACTTGTGAAATCAATCTGTGAAACTTTCATACGTGACTTTCTCTGCATTCAAGAAACTTTTTCATATCATAAGGTCTTTGTGATCGAATTGTGGTCATTCAAAGAGAGAAAGTCTTGATAGAATTGGTTACGGACAATTAGAAACTTCAAGTCCAGGTTTTTTCTTTTCATATTCTTTTGTAAAGTTTGATTGTGCAGGTTGGATTGTAATCTGCACTTGGTACGATGACTTGGATTTGGTTACTTGGGTGGTTTTCAAGATTCTGTCTTGTGGGTTTTGCAAGATAGTTCTTGGGGTAGATTGGTGAGTATCTACTTGGTTGTAATTTTCACTTGGTATTAGTGGAACTTGGTTGGTTTGTCAAGAAGCTGGATGTAGCTCTGGATTAGAGTGAACCGAGTATAAACTTGTGTGTTAATATTCTTCTTTCATCTCTTTTAATTTCTGTCTTTAATTGTCGTTGTGTTTAAATCAAATTACCTTTGCAAAGATTGAATAAAGATAACTCATTCTTCCAAAAGAAAGTAAGATTTGCGAAAAAGTTTTAAAGTTCAATTCACCCCCCTCTTGAACTCAACCATTAATTCTTTCAATTGGCATCGAGTTGGTTCTTGTATGTTACTCAAGGAATCGGTCCAATGGGTGAGGGAAAGATGAATTTTTTAGAAGGAGCCTCCATAAACGAGGCCTCCACTTTTTACGGTGTGAATTATTCTTTACGGAAGGTTAGAATGAAAATCTTTATTGAATCTCTTGATAGAGGCATTTGGGAAACAATTGTTAATGGTCCTTATAAACCAACTCATACTGTAGATGGTAAAATAGTTGAAAAAGATTGGGCTGAATTAAGCTGATGTAGAAAATAGGAAAGTCCAATATGATTATACTGCAAAAAATATTATTACCTCTCGCTTTAAATCTTGATGAGTTTTTCGGGGTGTCTCGGTGTTTTCGGGGTGTCTCGGGTGGTTACGCAAAGAGATGTGGGAAATTTTAGAAGTCACACATGAAGGAACATCCGATGTGAAAAGGGCAAGAAAACATGAGTTAATCGGGGACTATGAGTTGTTTAAAATGCGGCAAGGAGAAACAATTGCGGATGTGCGAGAAAAGGTTCACGCACATAGTTAATCATCTAATCGGGTTAGGAAAGACTTTTGATAAAGAAGAGTTGAATATCAAAATCTTAAAGTGTTTGGACAGAACTTGGCAACCAAAGGTGACAGCAATATCGAGAATCAAGAGACTTGGTCGAAATGACTACCGCTTCACTTTTTGGTAAGTTGAGGGAACATGAGTTGGAAATCAATCGGTTCAAAGAACAAGAGAATGCGAAAAGAAAAGTAGAAATATTGTTCTCAAGCCGATTGAAGAAAACAGTGGATCTGAAGAAGATGAATCAAAGAACTGACTTTGTTAGTTAAGAAATTTGGAAAATTTCTTAGAAGAAAGAAACAGAACTGGCCAAGTAAAAAGGTACAATGATAAAAAGACTGAATCTGTTCAAAATTCTATTACTTGTTATTCTTGTGGTAAACGGGGTCACATAAAGAGTGAGTGTCCGGAAAAGACCAAGAATCAGAACAAGAAAGATTCAAGACAAAAAGGGAAGAAGACCTATATAGCCTGGCAAGACAATGATTCATCTTCCGACTCTCGAATCCGAAAGTGAGGAGGTGAACCTGTGCTTGATGGTCGGTTGTGAATCCTCTTCATCACATGTAAGTTCAACTCCTACGAGAGAATGAAATGAATTACGAGCACATTACTAAATGCTTTCAATGAAATGCATAGTGAAGCCGAGAAATTTATCTCATACAAATAATCGGTTAAAAGGTTTAAATAAGCTGGTTAGAAAATAGAGTTAAAATTACGGAAAAAGAATTACTAGAGAGCAAAACAGATTTAGAACATCTAGATATTATCTATTCATCTGCGGATAATGTTCGTTGTTAAAAAGAAGCTGTGAAAAATGTAGTGCTTTACAAAATAAGGTTGATTACTTAACTAAAACCTTGACAAAATTTACTCAAGGTAAAGAGAATTTAGATGCACTTCTTGGGTCTCAAAATTGTGTGTTTGAACATTCTGGAATCGGATACAAACCTAAGAATGGGGTAAAAACTAAAAAATATTTGAACTTCTTTTCATTTAGAAAAGCTACAAGATCCCCTTTCTCATCTTTTCTCATCTTGTCATTACTGCATGAAGAAAGGACATACTATCAAATTTTGTCATGCTAGAAAATATTTTGTGCCGCAAGGTAGGAAGAGATGGGTTCCAAAACATGTTAAACAGTAAAAATTGACTCCTAAGGACCCAAAATACTTAAGGGTACCGAGAAAAATGCTTAATTTGTTTGCGGGGACAAAGTCCGGGAATCCCTTGAAGTTCGAGCTACGAATCGGGTTACGTTTGTCTAAAGCTGATTGTTTTAATTGATATAAACCAGGTATTAATCGATTAAAATAACTTACGGAAGATATTAGTAAATATGTCCGATGCAGTTTTAATCGATTGAAATGCGAATCAATCGATTAAAATGTTCTCATGATTTGAGTTTTAAGTTGTTTTAATCGATTAGAATGAATTTATATCAACTAAAATCACTAAGGTATCAAATTTAATCGACTCATTTTCGTTTTAATCGATTTAAATTCGGTATCATCTTCTAGATCTCTTCCAATACTGAAACAATCGATTCTTTCAAGTATTATTCGATCATTTTACTATTGCATTTTCAAAACGAATATTAAAGACCAAATTAGTAAAATAATTTGTTTAATCGGTTTGTTCTCGAAAATCATTTTCAAAACATCCAAATGAAATTCGGCCATGCATATAGAGTTTACAATTTAAGATTGAAATCGGTTGAAGAATCAGTACATGTTGTGTTTAATGAGTCTCCTCGAGTGGTGCAGAATAGAACAACGAGTACTGCTGAGATGAAGAAGATTTAACTGATAATTCTTATCGGTTGAAACATGCCGAAACACGAGATCAGATATCTTGTTGAAGAAAATGATCCATCGAGTAGACCTGCAAAAGCTGATCCACCAACAATTGCTGAAGAACGAGGAAGATGTTACGGAGGAGCTTCCTAAAGAGTGGATTGTCCCAAGAAATCTCTCTCTAGACAATGTCATCGGGCAAATTAATAAGGGAGTATCTACTAGACATTCTCTTAATCAATTACGTAATCATATGGCATTCATTTCACAAATAGAGCCTAAGACAGTTAAAGAAGCATTAAATGATGAATACTTGGGTTAGTGCCATGCATGATGAGCTTAATCAATTTGAAAGAAATAAAGTGTGGGAATTAGTTCCTAAAATCAAAGATATCAATATAATTGGTACTAAGTGGGTATTCAAAAACAAGCTAGATGAACATGGCATTATTACTAGAAATAAAGCTAGGTTGGTAGCCAAAGGGTATAACCAACAAGAGGGTATCGATTTTGATGAAACCTTTGCACCTGTAGCTAGACTTGAAGGCTGTTAGATTATTATTAGCTTATGCCTGTATAAGTGGTTTCAGATTACTACGGATGGATGTAAAGAGTGCCTTTACGAATGGACTCATCAATGAAGAAGTATATGTTTCTCAACCTCCTGGGTTTGAAGATCACAAGCATCCCGACCATGTCTACAAATTGAAAAAGGCCCTTTATGGTTTAAAGCAAGCAC